TGGCCTCATCTGCACCTAGAGGAAGCATCAGGTTTCTAAGTCTTCCCTTTTTGTGTGTCCTCAACTTCTCCCTCGTTGTCTCCTTTGTCCCAGGTCTTCCCCTCCTTCTGCCCCTCTTCTCCAACCTCAGGACAATAATCCATCATTGTTATCTCTCTGGGTGTTTGCAGAGCACTCCACAGCCATTGTTGAAAGTTTTCCCTCTTATTTGCAAAGTACTTTACAGCTATTATTACGAGACCTGTCCTCTCAGAGTGGAGAGATGCTGACCCGCTCTTCCAGGGTTGGACTCCCACTGCTCCCCAGTGGGCGGACCGGGGCCTGTACTGGAAAGGGGTGGGAGTGGGAGGCAGGCTGTCACTGCCCACCCGGAGCTGTGGCTGGGCCCTCAGCGTGCCCTCTGGGAAGTTACACCTGATCTTTTCCTGTGAAAAAGTAAGAGGTGATGACTCGGGGCTCCCAGCCAGGCACCCATTCTTCCCCAGAGGAAGTACTAAGCCACTAGAGATGGGCTGCATTCTTTCCATTCCTCAGACCAGGGGGCAAGGGGAGTTTATTTCTGTGTCAGACACAAGAGCATAAAATGCTCCCCCGACACCACCAGGGAGGTGGAGAGCTGCTGGGGAATCATATTTCTCCTTTTACAAAAATCAGAATCTTGAAGAATGAGTAATTATGATGTTACAGACCAGCGCCTTCATGAAAAGCCCCCACAATTAGTCCAGTCAAAGCTGCTCTCCGGCAGTCTTTGTGGCCATCCCTCTGTGGGACACCTTGCATGTTCTGTCTTCCAGTTTGCACGCAAGAGCCAGCATTTCCATTATATTGCTCTTCGTATTAATCAGTTTCCATGGGAGAAGGCTCGCGACCAAGAGCTCTTGTTGCTCCGGCAGAGGACTAGGGTGTGGTCCCCAGAACCCACAAGGCCGCTCACAACCATCAGTAGTAACTCCAGTTCCGGGGGGGCGGGGTCAATGCCTTCTCACCTTTGCAAGCACCAGGCACATGCATGGTGCACGTGCACACATGTAGGCAGAATACTCACACACATAAAATCTTTTTGTGTAACATTTCAGGGAAACCGTTGGGCAGTAAGATTTTGTGGTGGCCTACAGACACAGGTGTTCCTGGCTAGGTGTTTTGAGGAAACAAGGTCTTTGTCTTCTGCCCAGTTTCCTCCTTTGTCGGTGAGTTACACCGACAGGTCTATCTGGGTTGGACTTCCACATTTTCTATCCTAGACCAATGGTGTGTGCCACAAACCCCACATCCAGCTGACAGTTCTGAAAATGGAATGAGTCACCTGATATCACTCACTATTGATTTTCAAGGCCGGTTTGTTAAACTCTTATCATTAGCATTCCGAGACCAAGGCACCTCCTCAGCTCCTACGGCATCTGTTGGTCTGCTTAAATCACAGATGTTTGGTAAATATTTGTGGGTGACAAATACACATTTGCCAATGCCTGGTGACTTTACCTGGGTAGGAAAACAGTTGCTAGAATGTATAGCCTGAGGTTCACTTCCATGAGCAACTCAGGCCAACCTTTCTGTTGAGTTCTTGGAGCAGGGAAGAGTAAATGAGTAGCAGAGAGGACACAGCCATAGATGCTGTTGATTTCCTTTGATAAATTTTACACACATGCAATGTCCTAAGTGTGTGTGTGTGGGGGGGGTCAGGAAAAGCAGGGATCTCTCCTCTTACAAACAGGAACGGAGCAGGAGGGTTTTCCACCCTAGAGTTTAAATGAACCAGAATGAGAAAGAAATTGGTGTGAGCCTCTTGAAAGGCAACATATGGAGCCTTACCTGTGGAAGAAACAGAATGAGATATTGATGAACACGATCTCAGGTTGTTTTCTGTAGAACAGGATGGGTAAAACAGGGAGGGAGAGGCACAGTTGAGATGACCTTGTCCATAAATCTTTGGAACCCAGTTAATGGTTACATAGGAGTTTATACTCTGCCATCTTTGGGATAGAAATCTTTTTCAAGATAAAGAAAAACAGAATCAAAGGGCTGCAGTAGGTTTGAACAGTGAACCCAGTCCTCTCTCCCTAGGTGTGGTTTAAGCCTGTCTGTGGTCTTGGTTCAGTTTTGAGGCTGTAGTGCCATCTAGTGTTCGTGGCAAACAAAAGCTTGCCATTGCTAGCTCTTGTTCCCTCTGGCTATTGGCTCTGGGAACTTCTGGCTTTTCTACTGCCTTTCTAGAGCTTGAGAGCAAAGAGCGAGGCTGACAGGCCACGAGCAAAGTGCTGGTGTTGAAGGTGCTTTTGGTGGCCCAGCATAGAGCAAGCCACGAACAAGAGTCACCGCTAGAGGCAGGTGACCTTGATGAAGGGCCTTCAGTGTGACACAGGTGTAAAAATAGCCTCCCTGGGCCGGCTTTGCTTAACACTCCCTGGCCTGAGCAAACAGCTTCTCCCACCTGTACATTGTGTGCTTGGTATAGACAAACAGGTAGCAGTCTACCTGTTTGCAGGTGTAAATGACTGTTTGTATACCCAGAGCTATGGAGTGGGCACCCTTTCCTCGTCCCGCCAACATTCCCCCAGTGCTGATTACTGAACAGTGAAGTTGGCAAGCCCCAGGACTGGGGCCTGAAGGAGGGGTGGACCTTTAATCCTGCCTTTCTAAGGGGTACTTCTGGCTTCCCTGGGGAAGAACTCAGCATTGCCTTTGGTATCAGGACAAGGACAATCTGGAGACCAAGGTAGCTAACTGACTGTACTTAGAGACAGAAAACAGATGGCATGAGTCACAGAGACTTCTGGAAGCTTTAAACCAGGCCTTATATAGATCAAAGGGAAAGAGAAAACCAACCACACCTTTCTCACTCAGACAATGAGAAAGGACATGAGGGATTCACCAGTTGTAGAATTCTGCAGACGTGGAAGAGAAAAGAAAGGGTTGGTGAGTGAAAGAATGACAGACAGCAGCTTCCTGGTGGAGGTCTAACAGTCACGTTTGACTGACTCTAAGGGACTATGAATTATAGTACGTGTCTTTAGTGTATGCCCCATATACAAGGAAAACAAAAACATCAGATCACACTATAGCTAAAAGTAATACCCTAGTTTCATTTCTGTTGCTGAGATAAAAAAAAAATACCCTGACAAAAAGAAACAAAGGGGCTGGAGAGATGGCTCAGAGGTTAAGAGCACTGGCTGCTCTTCCAGAGGACCTGAGTTCAATTCCCAGCAGCCACATGGTGGCTCACAACCATCTATAATCTGATCTGATGCCCTCTTCTGGAATGCAGAAGTACATGCAGATAGAGCACTCATGCATACAGGGAAAAAAATGAAAGAGAGAGAGAGAGAGAGAGAGAGAGAGAGAAGAAAGGGGTTTATTTTAGGTTACATATTCCAATTTACAGTCCATCTTTGCAGGGAGCCATAGCGTTGAGGTCACAGTTACCTCAAGAGCAGAGAGAAATATGTATGCACACTCACGTGCCTGCTTGCTTGCTTGTACTTCTCTCTACTCTCGAACAAATCAGGACTCCCCGAATAGGGAATGATGCTGTCCACAGTGGGCAGGGTCAATTAACTTTTTTTTTTGAGACAGGGTTTCTCTGTGTAGTCTTGGATGTCCTGGACTCGCTTTGTAGACCAGGCTGGCCTCAGACTCACAGAGATCTGCCTGCTTCTGCCTCCCTGAGTGCAGGGATTACAGGTGTGCACCATGGCGCCGGCTCCACGTTAATTAACTTATTGAGACAATCTTCCACACACACGTTTACAGCCAGTCTCACACAAACCATGCCTCCCTGAGACTCTCTTACCTTCTGAGGCAATGCTAGTTGACAACAGCTCCCAGGTGTCAAGCTGACAATTAAAGCCAACTGTCACAGTGTGAAAATTATGACAATTATAAAGTTAAGGATGGCAATGGAACTCTAGTCTCTGCAACCTAGAAATTCTCCTTCTAGAATGGAACTCAGAGTAATAGCCAGAAACTCACAGATTTTCATTCAGAGATCAGAATTCACAAGACAAACATCAGAAACTAGACAGAGATTACGCAGTCATTGAAGAGCAGAAGTTGGGGGGGGGGCACATTTCAATGATGGACCAATTACGGCGTGCTGGAATGAGCTCATAACACATTTCCAATTTGGTAACACATTAAGGCTTTAAGCAAACAGAACAAAGTGAGATAGGCTTGACCATATCGCTTGACCTCAATGAGGCAAAAGCATGTGTCAACAGAGGAAGCCTTACAAAAGATAGAATAAAATAGCATGCTTGCAACACTGCCAGTGACCTGTTACTGTTGGTACCCGTTTCAGTACTAATTCTCCTATGTTAATGTCTTTACCCCAAAGGAAAACTAATCAATGTGCATTACTTTTGCAATTATTATGACCACAATACCTAGAGAAACTGCTTAACAGAAGACAGATTTTATTTTAGCTTATGATTTCACAGCGATTCAGTCCTCTCTGGCAGAGGAAGCATGGCCAAGTGGACAACATTCTGTGGAGCTTTCAGAGTGCAACAGATCAGAAAGCGAGAACAGGAGAGGTACAAGACTCCCAGTATAACCTCGAGTGATCCTCTTCTGCCAGCCTGGCTCCTCCTCCTAACTGGGCTCCACCACCAACCCAAACAGTGCCATCCGCTGAGGAGCAGGTGTTCAAAACACAAGCCCATGGGGACAGTTAATGTTCAAATCATCACACGGTCATAATTTTGAAAGGGAAAATGAAGAAAAGGGTCTGCGTAGGTTACGTGGGTGCCGTGAAGACACCCCCTTCCCCCACCCAGGAGAGATCTGGACTCAAAAAGGTCCTCTATAGCCTGGGTGGCTGACGACTCTTCCTTGCAGCCCTGCTGTATCTGGGTGGCAGAGAGTGGAACCCACTTGCCATGCAGTACTGAGTGAGGCAGGATGAGTCTTCTGGGGAGACCTCTTGCCCTGCCTTCTAGGTGAAAGGTCTCCAAGCGAAACAAAGAAATAATCATCCGTGTCCTTTCTCCTGTGTCCTCCCTCAGTAGATATGTTTGATGACTTCTCGGAAGGCAGAGAATGTGTCAACTGTGGGGCCATGTCCACCCCGCTCTGGAGGCGAGATGGGACAGGACACTACCTGTGCAATGCCTGTGGCCTCTACCACAAGATGAACGGCATCAACCGTCCCCTCATTAAGCCTCAGCGCCGGCTGGTAAGCGAGCACCCCTGTGGCTTAGGTCCACCAGCCTGGAAGGCAGTCAGCTTCTCCCCTCCTTTCTGCACTTGGCTTTGAGGTCTTGCCCAGCTTTAAATTCTGGGATTAGAAGATACGAGCTGAAGGGTTAGTTAGGTGCAATAAAGAGGGAGCTTCTCACACATTTAGAGCGAGCTTGCCCTCGCTTTGAAGATGCTGGCTCAGGTAATCCGTCCCCATCACCATGCCATGCTAGAAAGTGAAGCTCAGAGAGACAAGTGGCACCAGCCACTGTCCACAGGCCTCTTTGTCTCCATTCCCTTTGTCTTGAAGGCCAACGCAAACCAGAAGCTGTCTTATTTTCAGCTGATCCCCTAGAAAGAGCCAGAGTTCAAGAAGACAAAGCAGTGCATGTGGGTCCTGGCTGGGAGGGCTATCTGTTTCTATGAGTGGTCCAGATACCCAGAGATAGTGCCGAGACTCGCCAGAGGGCTCACATGAGACCATGCTGGCCTAGCACTGCTCGATACAAAACACTTCCTTTCTATGTTGTAGTCTGCTTCCCGCCGGGTGGGCCTCTCCTGTGCCAACTGCCAGACCACCACCACCACACTGTGGCGCCGCAATGCCGAGGGTGAGCCAGTGTGCAATGCCTGCGGTCTCTACATGAAGCTCCACGGGGTGAGCAGATACCCTGCCCTGCAGTGTCGATGCCCTGCCTTTGCCCCTCTCATGCCCTCCTCCGTTCCTATTCTGCAGGTCTCTCCTGTCTTCCCTCCAGAATAGAATCCATTTGTTCCTTAAAAAGAAAAAGAAAAAAAAAAAAAAACCTTTGTGTGTGTGTGTGTGTGTGTGTGTGTGTGTGTGTGTGTGTTTCAGTACTAGAGCAGACATCTACAAATAGAAATCCACATATTTAACTTCCAACCCTTCAGGTACCCAGGCCTCTTGCAATGAGGAAGGAGGGGATTCAAACCAGGAAACGGAAGCCCAAGAACCTGAATAAATCTAAGGCGCCGGCAGGTGAGGAGTAGACCTGTGTGTAGGTATGTAAACCAGTCAGGAGCTCCCAGAGCACATGGGAACCATGTCTGCTCTGGTAGGTGGCCAGCCCAGGCCGCCAGGGTATGATGGTAACCTCCCTGTCCATCCTCTTCTCTCAGGACAGACTGACAACCCAGACAAGAAGTTAGTACCATGCAGTGACGATTGCCTTTCCATGGGCTGGTTGGCTCAATGTGGGCCTGAGAGAGGAATGTCGCTCGGTGCCCCACCCCCAGCTCTGTCTTTGATGCTGTGATCAAAGCAGACAAGTTCCCATTAGCCAGGCTTCTGACAGACTGATCTGTAATCGGGCTATGTTCATGTCACACAGTGCTCTGAACTTGCACCAGTTCCTTCAGGGGTCCTCTCAAGCCCCCAGAGAAGTGGTTTGTTATCCCATCTTCCCGAGAAGCAAACGGGATGCAATGGTTTATTACAATCACGTTGCTACTGACAGGGGTCTGGAATGTCCACTCCAGGATCAGTAGTCTGTTCAGTATACTGTTCTGTCTTCATAGTTTCTGTGTAGCTCGGAATGGCCTTGAACCCATGACCCTCCTGCCTGAGCCTCCTATGTGCTGGATTTATAGGCATGAGCCACTATATCTGGCAATGCCTTCTTAATTTCTAGATTAAGAGGAGGGTCATTAATATCCCCTACCCATCGCTTTGCTGCATGATGCCAAATTAGGATCCGACTGCCTTCAATTGCAGAGGAAATGAATTGCCTGGACAGGCAGACTAACCAAATTGCCCATTTTCACCACCAAAGGCATGGCAAGCATTCTAGTTTCCTAAATTCAACAGGGACTTCTGGAAGAAGTATTTCCTACCAGAACCTTCCGTCACTCCCCAGGGTTCCTGCTTGTGACTGCAGCAGAGCCCAGCCCCTGGGTAACCTCCCCCTCCCTCCCCTGTGACAGGCACAGGTAGGACAGGCATTAGGTTCAGGGGTGTAGCCCTCAACCTGTAAGTCAGAATCCAGGGAGGTAAATTCTGTAGCAGAACCCATTCTGGAGCAGCACAGGCCATTTGTAATCTCCACTTACCCCAAGCAGTGTGGTACAAGTGGAACACTTTGTTACAGAGAAATTAATACAGTTAATTATAAGTTGCTGTCCCAGAACCCTCTGGTAGTATCTTGAAATAGATAGTATTTGCATTTAAAAGCTATAGCAAAAGTGTAGAATCCCAAAACATTATTGTCTCCAGGATGGTCTATTAATAGATCTAGGGTCATAAGGGAATCACCGAGACTTTTGAAAAAGTTCCCTCGGAGCTGTCAGTGGGTAGAGCGCTTACTTAGAACACAGGATGCCCTGTCTTCAATCCCCAGCACTCCATAAACTGGGCGTGGCAGCATAGGCCTGTAATCCCAGCACTCAGGAGGTGGAGGCAGGAATACCAAAAGTCCAGTGGCATCCTTACCTAGTAAGTTTGAAGCTAGCCTGGGCTACAGCAGGCACCATTCTAGGAAGGTAGAATAGTCTCCTTGGAATTTTGATGCTTCTGTCCAATTCTGAGAACTGCTGTTCTCCACCAGAAGGATCCCCGCCTCCCTCCCTCTCCTCCAGCAAATGTACATAAGGCCTCCCTCCCTGCAGCTGGACTGGGTTTTCTGACTCTGCCTTCTTTGCAGGTCCTCCAGGTGAGAGCCTCCCCCCCTCCAGCAGTGCCTCCAGCAACTCCAGCACCGCCACCACCAGCAACAACAACAGCAGCAGCAGCAGCAGCGAAGAGATGCGCCCCATCAAGACAGAGCCTGGGCTGTCATCTCACTATGGACACAGCTGCTCCATGTCCCAGGTAGGTGGAGTGACAGGGCTGACAGGGAAGTAGATTCTAGAACCCCAGTGGCCAGACCAGGCCTGGAAGGTGAGCTGTAGCCTGGTTCTGAGCTGCTGGGTTCTGAACAGCCTAGCCTCCAAGCCCTAGGTACCTCTTGCCCATCTGCAGTGACCTGGACACAAAGAAGAGCAGGCGTTTAGCAACTTCCCTGTGCTGTGGCCTTTGGGGACAAAAAGAGGGACCCAGGGACTGCCCCTAAGGTGTACGTGGCAGATAGTCAGTCTTGATGTTGGGGTTGAAAGCAGACTTGAACCCTAGAACTTGAAGAGCTTTGAGCTTGTCCTTGAAAGCTTTTCAGAGGAGGAGGCAGAAGGACCCTGTTAGCACGGCACACAGAGGAACATGGAGGACAGGGTGGGTGAGACACGGGTAGGAAGCTGATTTCATGAGCTGCAGCTTTGTGAGAGCCTCAGAATGGCCCAGGGGACCATGCCCTCCTGCAGGTATGATGGCACCCCTGTTCCTCTGTCTCTCTAAGGATGAGGAACACACAGGTTCCTTTTTCCAGCCCCCATCACCCCTAATTGTAAGAGGCTGTTTGGGCATTCTACCATCAGAGTGAACCAGACACAACCTGGTTCCACAGAAACAAGAGTGCCAGAACCTGTTCAGGATGGAGAGGATGCCCTCAAGCTGACCCGGAAGACCCCTATGTGAAGTAGTGTTAAGGGTGCCTCCTGTGGCCATCAGAGCCTTCTGAGAAAGCCCAGCAGCACAAGGCTCCTGGGTTGTGGCTCTGCTTACAGTGCTCAGAAGCCACTGAGGAAGCACACAGCAGCCCTGCAGCTGGACCCTAGGGCCTAGGGAAGCAGCTAGAGTCTTAATCTCTTGTCCCCTCCCCAGCTCTGGTCCTTGGGCCCCCAGCAGCATCCTACTGGCTCACTGTGCTCTCTGCCTTCCAGACGTTCTCTGTCAGTACTGTGTCTGGCCACGGGCCCTCCATCCATCCAGTGCTGTCGGCTCTGAAGCTCTCCCCACAAGGCTATGCATCTCCTGTCACTCAGACGTCGCAGGCCAGCTCCAAGCAGGACTCTTGGAACGGCCTGGTCCTGGCTGACAGTCATGGGGACATAATCACTGCGTAATCAGCACCCACCCCTTCCCTCTCAAATTCCTGCTTGGACTTAGGACCTGGGGTCAACAAAGTCTGAGGCCAGGCATCCTGGCCAGCCCCTTCGTCTGGGAACCCCTGAAGAACAACTGGGTAGAACTTGAAGTTGTTGACAGTTTTAGGGATGCGGATGCTGGGCTCCTTCAAACCCTTTCCCAGGATGAGCGCTGGAGAGAGCCTGCATTCCCACAGACAAGCCCGCCTTCGCTGCAAGAACAGTACAGTACAGCGTAGCAGGAGACTTCTCATCCTCCACCTGCCTGTCCCAGACAGACACATAATCTCCTTCATCCCAGCTCCCCACCCCAGTGGCTCTAGGTGACAGTTTTTTTCTCTGTGTTCCTAGAGAGGCTGTAGGGGCCCAGGCTTCCAGACACTGTCTACAGCCTGAGCAGGGTGTCTACTTGTGGACTGGACGTGGCAGCCCTGCCCTTGTCCAACACTCCCCTTGAGGCATGACATGTTCCTGCATGCCCCATACCAGATCTGACTCCAAAAGTACTGGGTGCAAGGCAGATGTTACTGAGTGCTTCCTGGAGGCATGGGAGCGGGGGTGCAGGGGGAGGAGGGGAGAAAGCACATCACCCACCACACAGGATAGCTTCATCAAATCGCAGCCCGGCAGTGGTGCCTCTCCTTCCTCTCCCAGGGACATCAAACCACTTGTTCTCCATCCTGAACATCTCCTACCCTCTGCGAAACTCAAGCTCAGTTCTGTAGCAGGCTAATACCACTTGGTGCTACTCCTAGCATCCTTTTTAACCCCTTCACACACAGAGGTTCCAAGGAGGAACAAAACCTGCTACCGGAAGCAGCTTTGGTGACCGAGCTCATCTGCACCTTGGGTCTTTCTGGAAGTTGTGTCTATAGCACAGTCGTGTTCGTAGGACTCCAGCTTGCTTGCTCTGAGCCTGCCAAGCCATGGCCTCTCAAGTCAGACAGTTACCTGGATCTGGGCCTTTCTCCAGCGCCGATTCTTCATCTAGGAAATACAGAGTGTTTGCAAGATAAATTCCAAGCACAAACAACAAAAACGAAATTTGTGAAAGGACAAAGGTGACAGATGGAAGATGCTTCGGGCCTGACGAGATTGCCATTGCTTGTAGCTGTCCTAGAACTGGCCTTCTCCCCACCACACCCCCCATTATTGGGGCACTCAAAGATTCTTCCTTGTCCTCATTACCCACAGAGCTGTAGCCAACTGTGGCATTACCCTATTGTACCCTAGTCCCCTAGCCCTAACCCCTAAACCTTACTGGCCGTAGCAGAGAATAGCTTTGAACCCAGATTCTGTTGAAATCATCATTTACACACGTTTTCTCCCTCAAGGCCGCCTTCCCATGCTTCCCCTCCTCCACAACCCATTAACATTGTCTTAAGGTGAAATGGCTGTAAAATCAGTATTTAACTAATAAATTTATCTGTATTCCTCTTTCCCTCATTAGTCTTTTCTAGGAGGCCTGATGTTCTTGCCCTTTTCAGTGGAGTAAATGACACAGGCTGCCTCTACCGAGTTTCCCCTTCATGGTTTTGGCAGTTGGCACCTCAGAATTGGTGGCAGAGGCTGCAGAGAGAATGGCAGTGGAAGATCTCAGGACAGGGTTCATCTTCCTGGAGAAGACAGGAACAGCCTTAGCTGAAGCTCCTCTGTCCCCACCTTCTCACATAGAAGTCACCCTGTGAGTGGGGACATTTTTAGAGCATCTGCCTGGGTACTTGTGGCTCCATTTAACTAGATGGTCCTCAGTCTCTCCTGTCTCCTGGTTTAGAACACATCCTGAAGGGTGGCCCCCGAGGGACAAATACTTATCCCCGTGTGACAAAGCCTTGTCTCCTTTATCTACTTTGGCCTCACCTTCTCGGGCACCAGGATGGCCTATTCACTTCACCTTATAAGCATGAGGAATGAGGAGCAATCACTGATCCTAAGGCCGTGTCTCACTTGGTTCCTGTGGCAGTGGCTGGGTTTGCACTATCACTCACCTTCAGAGACATCTACCTTCCACTTGGCTTGTGCAAAATCTAACAAGCATGGAAGGCCTCAGAGATCATGGCATCCGGATTACTTTCTAGTAGTAATAACACACACACACACACACACACACACACACACACACACACACACCATTCTATTTAAAACCAGAAAATCTTCTTAAAAGTTTTCAGAATGATTTAATAGTGTGAATGGGTACACATGCCACAGCACCCCAGTGGAGGTCAGGAACAGCTTTTAGGAGTCTGTTCTCTCTTTTCCACCTTTACCTAAGTTCCACGGATCAGACTCAGGTCTTCAGGGTTGGTGGCAAGTGCTCTGCTTAAATGACCCATCTTACTGGCCCAAGAAAAAATTTCCAACTCTTAAAGGAATAACAACCAAACCCATTAAGCTGAGGACTACTGTCACTCAGGTAAGGTGAGTCCTAGTAAGAAGAGAGATTCCAAACTGCTGGCCAGAGGAAGTTCGTGGTTTGGGGTTAGGGTTTGTTTGTGTGTTTGTTTGTTTTGCTTAAAATATTTACATCACTTCTCTTTAGAAATGGATTTCAGAACACAATTCTACATACTGTCAGCAGATGCCTTTCTGTATACAATCATAACTGGTTCCTTTCTCCAACTAATTTGACTCAGCCTCCTTGATCATCAGACTGGTTGCTTCCCCCAACCAATCAATCCTTAAGGAAGCCTGAGTTGCTGTACCCAAGAGACTATAAAAGATGCAGATAGGCCTGGAAATGAACACTGTCTCAATCATCTCCATCAACAACAAAGATACATTTCCAAATTGTTGGGACATGGTTGGGATGAGGAGGAAGTGAGGGGCGATGCAAAATGATGTCATTGGAATAAATCACTTTCTCAAGGGTCAAGTCTTCATAAGAAATCACATTGCAGGGCTGGAGGAATGGCTCAGCAGTTAAGAGCACTGACTGCTCTTCCAGAGGGAGCCAGGTTCAATTCTCAGCACCGAATGGCAGCTCTCAACGATCTGTAACTCCAATGTGTGATACCCTTATACAGACATACATGCAGGCAAAGCACCAGCGGACATAAAATAAAAATAAATAAATTTTTAAAAATCACATTGCCTTGTGGTCATGCTACCTTCTGACCAAACCTTCTGGAAGCCAGGTGAAGCTGATCTGCAGTAGGATGTGTGCTGGCCCTGGCTTCTGGGCAGGAGACAGCTTAGTTGTGATTGTGTTTGGCTGAATAGACAGTAATGGCCACAAGTCTCTCACTACTGAATAAGCAGCAGATGGGGCTGGAGGATAACCATGAGGAAGACCTGACCCCAAAGCTTGGCATGCTGATTCTGTCGGCTTTCCCTTGCCATAACAAAACACCTGAGAGAATTAACTTGAAAGAGAAAGCTTTGGGCTGGATTTGCCTCAATTGGTAAATTGCTTACTTATACTTACTTATACGTGAAACCCTGGGTTTGATCCTCAGGGCTGTATAAGCCAAAGGTGGTGGTTTATGCAGTCATGAGGTAGAAGGCAGGAGGATCAAGGCCAGCCTGGGCTACATGAGACCCTGCCTCAAACAAAATAAGAAGAATTTTACTGCTCTGAATCTCTGGTATAGTCTAGGGTTGCAAGGCTATCTGTCACAGTAACCCAGTCAAGTCTGTTTCAGGGTACGCTAGCGCTTGGTGGGACAAATGGGGCCTTATTTAGCTTAATTAGGGTTGAAAGATAATTTATACCAACCCCTCCATTCCTTCTTGGAGGTACAAGATTAGACTCTCCGAGAGTTTAGTGGGGCTACAGGGGCTCAATTGCTAAGAATGTCTCAAAGGTTTCCCATAGCTGGCCTGGGAGAGTTGCATGAAGATAACCTAGCTATGAAAGAGGAATCTCTGATCATAGCGGTATCAGAGATCATCTGAAGGTCCATATCCTCTAGTGATGCCACCAGCAGAACTTCCTTAAGGCCACAGAGCTGACGGCAGGAAGATCTCATTTACCTCACCTCCTCCCCCGCCTCTCTCCCTAGGACTAGAGCGCCTGCAAGCACTGTGCTTGCAGTTCATGCATTCACCACGTGGGGGCTCAGGCACACTCTTCCCCTTTCCACCTCCATTCTAGCAAGGTTTTCAAGCCTTTTATCAGCCTCAACCAAATTCCCCTACTCAAAAGCATTGCTGTTTATTGAGCCCTACTGCCTGCCAGACACTGACAGCTTTTGCATGGCTTAGGAGAACATTTGTACATCTTTCTGTCTTTCTTCGTTCCTTCCTTTCTTTCTTTTTTTTCTTTCTTTTGGCTTTTTAGAGACAAGATTTCTCTGTGTAGCCTTGGCTGTCCTGGACTCGCTTGGTAGACCAGGCTGGCCTCAAACTCACAGAGCTCCTCCTGCCCCTGCCTCCCTGAGTGCTAGGATTACAGGCATGCACCACCAACCCAAGCTAGAACATCTTTTTAAACAAGTTTTGCACACAAAGAAAAGGATTTCAAGTCACTTGTCGAAATTCACAGAACTACGAGAGAACCAAGATGTAAAATCTGTTCTGTTTGATTCCAGAATTCTGCTTCTCTAGGAGTGTGCTCCGTAAACTGTAACGGCGATTAGAAGTGACAACAGCAACTAGGAGCCATTCTTTCCCTCAGCCGTAGAATTCTGAGCCGCTTGGTCTCAGGAGAGATCTCTTAGGTGCACAGCTCTGAGAAGGCAAGGATTTAGGCTATATTGGCTTTGGCCCAGCCCAGCCAGTCTATAATAGGGGTGTGTGTGTGTGTGTGTGTGTGTGTGTGTGTGTCCTTCTGAAAGCTGCCATCGGTGTGCCCTGTCTCCTGTACAAGATGTGCTCCTCTGAAGACACCAAATGCAGAAAGCCCACTGCAGTCCTCATACATAAAGCAGGAAGGACCCCCTTCTGCAAATGTTGTACCTTGAAGCTCACCCTCTACCTCCAGGGGACCTTTGCACCTCAGATACTAGAGGCCTCCCCGCCTTACTTCCGGGGAAGGCTGGCTGTCTCCCTGTGCTGGCCGAGTCCTCCTCCAGCCCTCAGGTGCCAGATCCAGGGACTGACACTCTAGCTGGGCCTGTTCAGAGTTCACCAAAAGTCCCTTGACTGGCTCCAACCCTTCTTGGAGTCCTAACTATCTTTGAATAACCTATCATCTTTAATTTTCCAAGTAAAAACTTCAATACACAATAAAAAAAAAATGCCTATAGTAAAAATTCAAACATTATTAAAATAATATAAAGTAAAAAAGTAAAGCTCACTCTTTAAAAGCATTACAGCGCTGGCTGTGTTTAAAATCCTAGTACCTGAGCGACAAAGACTGGAGGATCACCCAGGAGTCCAAGGCTAGCTAGGGTTACAGTGAGATCCAAGCCAGCCGACATTATACTGTGAGGCTTTGTCTCAAAAAACCTAAACCCAAACAAACACCTTCGTGAAGTGTGGAGGAACTGAAATATCTTGGTTTGAGCCATTCAAGACCATTGGATTCTGAGTGCTTGCCTTTTCTTGGTACCGGTCCACTCTTTCCTAGACCCTTATTGGCAAGCCTGTAGGGATAAGGAGGAGGGAATGGGGGGGGGGGGGGGGGCGGGGGGTTAGGCGAAGATGCTCCCAGAATGCTTCAAGGGAGGGGGAAGAGCTTGCACCTCGGCCCAGAGAGAGAGCTGCGCCCCAAGTGATCACTGCGGGGACAACAACGCAGTATCCCTCCAACCCATGCGAGGAGACCCAACTACAGGAGCTCACAGCCCCATCCCACCTCCAGCGCCTCCAGGAGAGAAGCTGCAGCTCCCCATCTCGGGGTGCACCCCACCTCCAGCAACCCCAGGGAAACGCTTGTAGTGCCTCCGTATCGGCGGCAGCCGGGAGTAGAACCCACGGCTCCCTCCCCACCTCTAGGATGAGCTCTGTCCCGGGGAGGAGCCCCTGAGTCCCGGAAGTAGCTGCCCGCCTACCCTGGGGGAGGAGCCCTTTGGCCCTGAGCCACACCGCCTCCAGCCCTCACGCAGGCTGCGGCTGTCTTCCCGCCCTGGTCTGGAAGAAACGGGCGGGCGTACTGCGCTCCCGCCTGCGGCTGCTGAGAGTACAGCTCCGCGGGGCCTGCCTAGGTCCTCGTCGTCCTCCTCCTCCCCACCCTACCGGGCCACACAGGTGCACGTTGTCAACACGTTTTTTTCTTTTTAATCTTTGGTGAAAAGTCAGTTACAGAAAAATTAAGCAGCGTCTCTTCCGGGTAGTTTGTTTTTGTTGATCACGTTGCCTTCCGCTTAGCTGAGCACTCGTGACCCTCACGTGTTCGCTCCCCCTTCCATCCCACCGTAGAGCTGAGAAACTCTGTCGCCCATGACTTTTCCCTGGCCCCTGGAAAACAGGGACCACGTCCTGCGCAGCCTGGCCACCTCACTTTATCTTATCCCTTCCCTGTCCATCAGCATGCTCATGGGCAGAGTTGTTTGTTTTGAAACAGCGTCTCTATGTAGTCAGGGCTGGCCCTGTTGACCAGGCTTGCCTAGAACTCCCAGAGTGCTTGGTGCTTGCGCCACCCAAGACCAGCCATCCAGATTGAAGATTACGGTGCATTGCATGAGCAGGCTTTTCAGACGGAGGCCAGGAGGACTCTGAACTTAGAGGTGGTTAGGCCCTCGGTGCCTGCCAAGCTGCCTTCGAGGCCAGTAGCTTTCCCTGAAGGTGTAGGTGAACTGTTACCACATTTCCATGATTGTGGGTGGGAATCCAAACATGTACACATTTACGTAAACACACTGAAGCCTTGGCACAGTTGGTTGAGAGGGATGGCCTATCTTGCCCGACGCCCTGGGTGTGCGCATAAACCAGAGGTGGTGACGCAGTCCTGTAACGACAGTACTCTGGAGGTGGAGGCCACACATACACAGCGGGCTACAGGCCAGCTTGGCATCCGGAATATAGGCAAACCGGTCTCAAGACAGACAAGAAAAATAGTGTTATTGACTGTATTGCTTATGAAGCCATAAGAATTCGTGGGATGTCTAGGGCATCCCAATTCTTCGATTAAGATACACATTTTAGGTGTCTTAGTAGGGAGCTGTGTGTAGCCCACACTTGGGAGACTTGGGCAGGAGAATCGTTCAGAGTTCAAGGACCAGCCTGGACTACAGAGTGAGACTTAACAACAACCAACAATAACCACCATCCTGGCTTTTTAACAACACTGAAATCATAACTACCTGCTGTGTGCCTTTAATTTTCACCATAATTCATGAGCTCAGTACTGGTGAGTGACAGGTAAGGTTAGGTACAGCTTTGAGTTGGGGATACAGGTGTGTGTGTGGGGGGGGGGAGATGACTGCTCAGTGAGTCAGGATGCAGACAGCCCAGGCTATCTCATTCTGATGCCCCTTGGTGCCTTTGAATGGTTGAGGACAGGGAGGGAAGGAGTGACAGGCAGCCCTGCCCTGCCTTTACTGTTGAGTCAGGCATTAATCAGGAGTTAAGCAGTTTAGCAGCCGCCCTGCCTGGGTGGTGTCTGCTTGTCACCATTGTGAGCTCTGCGGGCACTTCGGGCACAGATAGAGAACCATTTTTAGAGGCCTCACAACTGGTGTATATCATCTTTACCTGAGGTGGTCCTGAGAGAGCCAGATCCATGTATGGATAAGTCAGCAGAGGGTTGGAATGAAAGTTTGAGGACAACTAGCATTATAGGACCAGCTAACCTAGAGCTACATAGCAAGACTCTGTCTCAAGAAATGAAACAAAGGAGAGGTTTCTTTAGTGGCAGTGCCATTAAAGTAGACAGTGCCTGCGACATGGCACCCAGCACCCTATGTTAACATACCCAGCTCAGTCTTCTCTGAGATCTGACTTCCCCACCCCTCACCTCAGTCAGCTTCCAGTTTTGGCATCTATACTCTTAAATGGGTGACCCAAGCTGGCTCCTCGAGGTGCCACACCATCAGACATGCTGGAGAGGACCTGGCTAAGTCAACGGTCTTCTTTGCTGCTTTCTGAGGTAGCCATTCCATTGGACCTGAGATGGTCACGTGCGTGCAAGTCATGCTGGCGAGCTATTCTTGTTGTTTCAGCAGACACCTCCTGTTTTACTTAGTTAAGCTTCCTGTTTTGCTTGATTAAGCCTCCTGTTTTGCCTGGTTAAGCCTCCTGTTTTGCTTGGATATGTTTACTTGGAAAGACCCTTGTGGTTTACCTATATAATTGGTTTACTCTGTAGTAAAGATGGCACCTTGATCAGAGCACTGTCATGGTGTCACTTCTTCATGTTCTCTGTCTCTTTTAATTCCCAGACCCTTGTGCAGGCGGTTACTATCGGTGGTCGCAGGCAACTACAGCTTTCTGCCCGCAGAGATGCCGGAGGGGCCATCTGTGAGGAAGTTTCACCATCTTGTATCCCCTTTTGTGGGCCAGAAGGTGGTCAAGACAGGGGGCAGCAGTAAGAAGCTATGCCCTGCCGTCTTTCAGTCTCTGTGGCTCCAGGATACCCAGGTGAGTATCGCTTCCCCAGGTCCCACTCAGGTGTGCTGGCCACCTCCCCTGGACACATTTACAAAGGGTGTTTTGGGATAGACATCCTTTCTGTAAGCAGTGCACAGCTGTGCTAGGACAGTATATGACCCTGCTCTCAGTGTGCTGTTTCCTGTCACCGTGGACAGGGCACGGTGAAGAACATACAAACAGGACTAATCTGGAGAGCCCATCTCATTGTCTTACGTGAATTTCTGTTTGGTGCCGCTGGTCCCCATTGACCAGCTGTGAGATAAGGAATGAGCACTGTTGAAGATCTGGATTTGCGCCTTATCATCCTGAGCGGGAGTCAGAATTCCTTCAAGGCATTCCGGGACGCCCTGTGGACTGACCCCTCCCTGTTCCTCCAGCCTTTGCACCCACCTTCTAGTCCTTTGCTCAGACTAGCTGCCTGCAGCCCCGTTAGTTCTTGCCGTCAGTGTGGATGTTTGCCCTACTTGGGCACATGTTTCTTTTTTTCTCTCAATTCTGTTTCTACTCCTGCCTCTTCAGTTTACTGTGGTATAAGATCCCCTTAGTCACCCTTTCCTGCCTGCCATACACTGGCTGAGAGATGACTCCTCTGGACTTCTGGGATATCTTCTTTTTCCTCCTGTTCCATCCTTACTGTCAAGTCTGTCCTTCCTGTTGAGTGGGGAGACAGAAACAGGGTGAGGCTGTATCCTGGTCATTCCTCTTTTTGCTTAGCTATGAGTATTTGCATGTAGGAAGTGTGGGGTAAATTTTGTATGTTAACATTTGGGATCTGCTGCTGCTTAGCTTTGTGATCTGAAGCAAATTGTAGTGTCAATTCTGGAATTTTGATTTCTTTTAAAAACACAAAAATACTGTAAGAATACGTGTTCGTTTTAATCCCAGGTGTGAGGATATGGAGCTGCTGCAGACTGTCCTCAGCAGCTGACTATGATTTGCCTTGTGCTCTAGCAGAGGTGTGGTTTTGCCAGCTGCAGATAGTTTCTGTGATTGTGTGATGTTTGTAATTCTAGGGGTTTTTCAGAGGGTATAGAAATGTTAGCTGCCATGAGAAGCATGGTTGGTAGTTGGTTGGTAGTTCTGGGGCATTGGTTTTGGTTTGAAGATAGTCATGCTTTTCAAATAAGAAAAAAGTTAGATTCCAGGATCTCTGTCTCTCTTTCCTCTATCCTTCTTTCTCTCTTATCTAGTGATAGGTGGTGAAACTGGGAAGATAAAGGGTGGAAAAAAGAAGAACCTACAAAGTAGCAAAGGCAAGCCACAGCAGGTTCTCAATTTCTTAGCTCTACTATCTTCTCTACTATCTACTGTAGATGGGGGATAAAACACTTTTGGTAGTTCGAGTGAGAATGATTCCCAAAGGCTTATGCTTGGTCATCAGAGAATACAACTGTTGGGGAGGATTAGGAATTGTGGCCTTGTTGGAGAAGATGTGGTCTTGTTGGTCCACTGGGAGTGGGCTTTGAGGTTCCCAAAGCCCACCCATCTCTCTATCTCTGTCTCTGCCCTCCCCCCTGCCTGCTGCTTATGAGTCAGGATGTAAAGCTGTCTGTCACTGCTCTAGCACGGTGCCTGTTTCCTGCCATGATGGTTGTGGACTCACCCTCTGAAACTGTCAGCAAGACCCCAGTTACATGTTTCCTTTCCTAAGAGTTCTCTTGGTCATGGTGTCTCTTCACAGCAACAGAACACCGGCTGAGACACGCTTATTTGTTAAAGTTCTCGTAGGAGCAGACTTATGCCTGACAAAGCATGCTGTATGCCTGATAAATTGCTAGTTCTTTTCTTCCATCTACACCTGCGCACGTGCACACACACAGTCCCCCTAATCTACAGAACCGTTCTTTGAGGGGAAGATGTCTCATAGCCCTTCACCTATAGTTCATCTTTTGAAACCGAGGCTCTGAATCATCTAAGTGTAGGAGTCCAAACTTTAGTCCGAAGTTTAGATCTTCCAAACTTTAGGCCCGCAGCGTCTTTGTAGAGACTGGATGGTTTGGGTTCCATAGCTTTGGTCTCTCAGCACTTTCTTGCTGGCACAGCGCTGGCACTTCTATATCACTGAAGAGATTTGGGAACAAATGTGTGGCAGGGGAGTGGGAGGTGCAATGGATCCTGTTTCTCAGGAAACAAAGGAGACATCCATGCTGTGGGAGCCCTGAGAGGCCTGAACCTGGGATTACACGATGGTGCTTCCAGGGGTCTTTTCTCCTGAGAAACAGAGATTTGGATGCGGAGGAAGGACCTGTATTTTCATGAGAGAACTGCCCAGGAAGGCAAATCATAGCTGTAATTAAGGCCCAGTAGTAGCTTTGATATGAAGGCGTCCTTCTGGCCTGGAGGAGGTGGGACTTGGGGAGAAGACAGTTTGTGACAGAAGACAGAGGTGTGCCAGGATGCATGCATGAGTAGGCCTGTGTGTATGAAGGTTGTCGGTTGATGTTGGCTGTCTTCCTCAAGGGCTCTTGCCTTATCTTCCTAAACAGCATGCCTCACTGAATGTAACACTCACCACTTGGCTGAACTAGCTGACCAGGGAGCTCCAGGGGTTCTCCAGTCTCCACCTCCCAGTGCTGGGATCATAGGCTCAAATTGCTGTAATCTCACACCCTTCCGGCTCCCCCCAGAGGAGCTTCCTCTAACCCTCAGGCTTGTCTACAGTCAAAGTGGGGTTTCAGGGCAGGTCCCTGTGTCTCTGCTGTATCATATGTGCCACCATCCTGTACCTGCTACCCACCCACATCACAGATGGATACCGTATCCCATCTGCTGGAGGTAGTGGCTTTGAGTTTACCCACTGAGCCATCTCAGTGAGCTCGCAATCCTCTTGCCTCAGCCTTCTTAGTGTTGAGATTTCAGCCGTGAGCCACCACGCTCATCAGATTGTTGTTGAGTCTTTTGTATATGAGTTCTCTTGTGGTTGTTAACCTTTTCCAGGTTCAAGTTGCTGGGTTACAGGATGCCTCTGGGTTTTATGACGTTCTTTCTCTAGCTGTGCTCAGGCTGAGCATGCACACGCTGATTCACTGCAGCCTAGAAACAAGTATCTAAAGGGTCATGAAGTAACTAAAAGAATGACCATTGGTTTAATCTTTTACCGAGTTCCTGAAATCTTTGGGAACTCCCTCCTTGTTGGTTCTGGGTAGCTTTGCTGTCTGGCACAGACCTGTCCCATCGAGAATCCAACTCCTCCAGGTGCTTTCAGGGGTTTGGAAAGCCATGCACTTGCTGCTCACCCCTCTGGGGCAAAAGAGCAAAAGAGAGAGATCCTCTGTTCTGGGGAAGCTCTGGGTGAGGGGAGGGAACCAGACTGTGAGCAGCTAGCTGTTTGTGAAGCTTTGACCCCCTGTGGGGCTCTCTAAGGCTTAATCCTTTTTTTTTTTTTTTTGGCTAGGTTCATGGAAAAAAGTTATTCCTTCGGTTTGATCCGGATGAAGAGATGGAGCCACTCAGCGGCCCACAGCCTGTACAAGGAGTGTGGCAGGAACAAGCCATGGACCCAGAGCTGGCTTTGGGGCCCAGTGCTCAAGAAAGCTCTGTAGGCCCCTCTGGATCTGGGGAGCCTATTCCCAGTGGGTCCGATAGTTCCTCTGGTCTTGGGGGACAGAACCCTTTAGCAGGTGCCCAGAGGTGGCTGGAAGTCAGGTTTGGCTTGTTTGGCAGTGTCTGGGTGAATGACTTCTCCAGAGCAAAGAAAGCTAACAAAAGAGGTGACTGGAGAGACCCGGTGCCCAGGTAATGGTGTGATGTGTGCAGGGGTCCTAGTAGGGTCGACAGTATTCACGTGGTTCCCTCTTTGACAAAGCATGGCATTGGCTGATGGGACGAACTTGGGGATGTCCAGAGTTTGCTCCCCAGGAGGCAGAAAGGGTGCATATTCCCCCATAAGAACTGGGCCGTGGTCTGCACCCGGGATGATTATAACTGCTCAGATCACTGAGAGAACAGGATGGGGTTCCCAGCCAACATGGTACTTGAGAATGAACTGTCTCAAGTGTGAATTTAGGGGCACGGTTATTTATTTCCCGGTTATATATTTCCCACTTATTTAATTTGTGAACATTGAGAACATAAGCTCTGCTTACAGGTAGGGTTATTTCCGTGGCGGCAACTCCCAATTGCTTCTGAAAGGGAATGAACTTTCTTTCTTTTTCTGTTTGTTTGTTTCTTTCATTCTTTCTGTCTGTATTTCCCTCCTTCCTTCCTTCCTTCCTTCTTTTCTTTCTCTCTCTCTCTCTTTTTTTTTCTCTCTCTCTCTTTCTTTTTCCAAATTTGAAGCAAGCTTTAATTAAATCCTGACCAGGATGTACTCTGATCAGGTCCACTCTGGGATCCCAGGGAGTCTCCAGGAATGAACATTCTTATGGCTGTCTTCTTACTGGCAGCATCGGGCTATTTGTGTCCATGCTAGCAATGACAGTTTTCTATTTCATTATTATTGCATGAGTGTGTGCACCTCAGTGTGCATGGGGAGGTCAGAGGGCAACTTCTGGAAGTTGAATCTCTCCCCTTACTGGGAGTTGTGGAGATCAAATTCAGGTTAAGCCTGCGAGGATTCTCAACAGCCTCATGCTGCACTTTTTTAAAGCTTTGGGGTACTAAGCCTGGTAACCCGTGTTGTCAGGATTCTTTCCAGGCACTTGGGAGTTTTTAAGTTTTAGGTAGTCAGTGGTCATGTCTGACTTTACCTTTTAGCAAAGGATTCCCCTTCTGTTGAGTCACTGTTCTATTTTGTAAGTTTGGTGGGTTATTTTGTGGTACTGTGCATTGAAAGAATAATTTTATTACATTCATTCATTCATTTATTCATTCATTTGTTGTGTATGCACGTGTGTGCATATGCCATGGCACATATGTTGAGATCAGAGGACAACTTGCAGCAGTTGGTTCTGTGGGCCCTGGAGATCAAACTCAAGTCATCAGAGTTGACAGCAAACACCTTTACCCTCTGATCCATCTTGCCAACTCTGGCGATTAAAAACAAAAAGGAAAGAAAATAAGAAATATTTCCTGGGTTATTCTATGACAAGGGTCTTCTTGTATAGCCTAGGCTAGTCTCAAATTCATAATCCTCCTGTCTCAGACTCTCTGAGTGCTGGGATTGCAGGTGTGTACCACAGTGCGCAGACCCTAGCTTCCTGAAGTTGCCTCTGCCCTTCTTGCCTGTCAGAACACTGACGAGGTCAGATGTGGATTCAGGCTCTGCTGCTTCCAGTGGAGAGGCAGCTCTAGACAGACTAGCTGTCCCTACGAAGTATCCCGGTATTCCTTTAAAATAACAGAAAAGGTGTGTGAGATGTCCTTTCTTCGCAGGACATCCAAGAGGCCAGGGGCACATCTGTGTAGGAGTGTCCTCCTGGTTAATCTGGCCTGAAACTGGAAGGGATTCCATCTTTGCCACCATTTCTCATCTTCTCCCTAACGAGCCTGCCCCCACCCCTCCAGGTTCCCACTAACCTCCCGGACTCAGACTTGCAGCTTTCTGTCTGTCAGCATGTATTGCTATAATGTAATTAGAAGACAGCATATATGCATGTTTTATTTCATGCCTTTTGGCCCTGAGGTGTTTATGATTCTGATCATGGGAGCTTAACTTCCTGGTTTGATCCAGATGAGTACAGAAACTTAATATGCAGATGAACTGACTGTAGAGTAGGAATTCTGTGTTATGTGCGATCTGTGTGTAAATCCAACCTACGTAGTGATCACTGTATACACACGTGACATGATTATACAGCGGTAACTATATGGTGATATATGTGTGATCGATTACATTGTAATTGTATATATGTGTGAACTGGCTCTGCAGGGGTCTGCTTATGTATGTGTGAACTGACCGGACCGTAGTTGTTGTAATGTGTGAGCTTATTGTATGTGAGGACGAGGGTATGTATGATTTCTTCTGTCTTCTCAGGCTGGTACTCCACTTTGGTGGCGGTGGCTTCCTGGCATTTTATAGTTGCCAGATGTCCTGGAGCCCTCCCCCTGTGGTTGATCCCACCTGTGACATCTTGTCTGAACAGTTCCATCGAGGACAAGCGTTGGAAGCTCTAAGCCAGGCTCAGCCTGTGTGCTGCACACTATTGGACCAAAGATACTTCTCAGGGTTAGGTATGACCTGTGTGAGGGGGGAGGAGCCCCACAGAGCTGATTGACAGAAGTCACTCATCTGTAGGGCACTCAAGACTTGGGGACTCCCGGTTGGGCCAACACTCTTGGTTTTTTATGTCTTGATTTTAGTCTCAGAGGTTGAACTAGTCAGGTCCTCGCTTCTCTCTCTGGCATAGCACTCGAATCATGATAGTGTTTATCCCTCTAAAGGTGGTAGGACCTGGGAAAATGGAGCCGATAAATGAGGTGGACTAAAGTCCCATGCAATGGCCAACTTCATTCAGAGCATCAGACAACTTATCCTCTGAGGGCTAAGAGGATGGTTACATGAGTAAAGTTCTCACGAGTTCAATCTGTATACAATCACAGGGACAAGCCACACATGGCAAAAACGTGTTTTCCTGAAGAGGAATATAGACAAATAACGATAACCAGCTGTAATGAACAATGAAGTAAATTCACTCCTATCCCCTGCACCTGGGAGGAGTATGAAAACACATTCCAAGAACCATCCCGTGTTTTGAAGGAACGGAGGTCACACGACTCTTGTCCTGTTTCCTGTTTTTTTCCCAAGCGCTCAGAATTCTTCTCACATGACCCCATTCTTGGACCTTGCCCCGACATGATGCAACTTCCAGTTGTGAGCCTCCTGATGGCATTTTAGTGTGGCCTCCTAGCAGGGGGATCATGTTGGGCACCTGGCCTCCTCTAAAGCCTGGAGGCCTACGGAGCATATAGAAGGTTCTGGGTCAAGGCATGTTGGGAATGGTTGTCCTGCAGGCCATTGGAAGAGAGGAAGGAGTGTTCCTACCAATAGGTACTGCTCTTGGCAATGGAGCTTCCCGCTGACAAAGCAGAGGCTCTTAGAAGCCAAGAGAATAAATGTTTTTATTTCCTTTGATGATGGGATGAGATGAGAGCTATAAGCAAGCTTTACTAATACATGACTTGGGCTGAGCCAAGAGCATTTCTATCAAAATATCCCTAGGCCTAGGCTTAACCTAGGCCTAGAATGTTACCAGCCTTTTAGTGCTGAATAAGATTACCCTTTACAGTTCTTTCTGAACTCTGGCTGGCTGGATTAACTTACCTCTTCTGGCTCAAAAGCCCTCTTCAAGCTGACTGACTTCTCTTGGCTTCTCCCTGAATTGCTCTGCTTGGAAAAACTGCCTCTAACGTTTGTGAACTGAAGTGCACTGAACTGCCTGTCTTGAACTCAGGCAAACTGCACCGAACTGTATTGTACTGACTGCACAAACTTCACTGTATTCCTGTACTATACTCTATTCCTCTCTACCCTCTCTGCCAGCTCTTAAGTAGCTTCTCTTTTTTGTCTGTTCTTGTAAGAGCTGGACATAACCTATGGATGACTCATTCTGTAAAATCTTTTTCTGATTCATCACTTTGTCGGTCCCTCAATTAGACATCATTGTGTGGGACTAAAGGTGGGTATTCCACCAAGGATTAAAGGTGTATACTAAGGGTATTTCTGTATTCCAGCTGGATCACACAGACCTAGGTCTTTGGATGTGATCCTTTGCCAGAGCAGCCATGTTGCTGGATTAAAATTCCTCTGCAAGAAAGAAGCAGCTTTCTGCTCTAGAGAACTGAATAGTGAAACTGTGAGCATTTCCAGTTGAGACCAGGCGTGGGTAGTTCTTAGTACCTGGGGAATGGCTTTCTTACTACCCACAGGAGAGCAGTAGGTGCCCCCACAACTGTCTGGTAAAGCTGTTGGTATTGGCAAAGCTGCGTCCTTACACCAAATGTGACTTTGCCTGCCATGGGTACAGTCACCCTAGGAAGGTGAGAAAGCCTCGTGCTTTCTTGGGAGAGCCTGTGGGGTCTGTTTCTATGCCTGAGGAGCAACAAAGCTTCCAGAAATGGCTTTTGGATTTGTGGAGAGAGCTGACTGCACCGTGACAGCGGTGACAGCTGGCCTGACTCACCTGACTCCAGGGACTCAGGTACACAGTGGCTGTCCTCGCCGCTGTTCCATGGGGTGATCACAGGTTAGCTTTCCGTTCTATTCAGATGAGGAAACTAAAGCAAAGGGCACCTTGCTGACTAGTGGCGCAGCTGAGATGAGTCCAGGTAGGCTGCCACTCAAGTTTGCTGAGAACCTGTGTGCAAACGGGAGTGCGATTATGAAACTCTTGGGGGGAAAAGTCAGCTGTCTGGTCTGTGGCCACCATGTGTCTCCTAGCTTACTCTGCTCTCCTTATCAAGGTCATTGCCCAGTGGCCAAGCATGCTAGACTCCATTCATCATAACTTAAGACAGACTGTGAGCTTGTGTGGTGGCACATATGTATAACTCAACACTTAACAGATGGAGGCAGGGGGATTAGGAACTTAGCCTAGGCTACTTAGCGAGTTTGAGGCTACATAGACAGAGTGTTTCCCTGCCCTCACATCTCTCTTTGTTTTCAGGGAACATTATAAAGAACGAAGCCCTGTACAGAGCAGGGATCCATCCCCTCTCTCTCGGTTCGCTCCTGAGTCCTCCCTCTCTGGAGGCCCTCGTGGATCACGTGGTGACGATCAGCACAGATTGGCTTCGAGACAAATTCCAAGGCAAGGAACAGCACACACAGATCTACCAGAAAGAACGGTGTCCTTCTGGTCACCAGGTCATGAAAGAGATGTTCGGGCCCCCGGGTGGGTTCCAGAGGCTTACCTGGTGGTGCCCTCAGTGCCAGCCAAAGCTGTCATCTGAGGGGCCACAGAATCTGCTGTCCTCCTAAAATACTCGGTCTCCTCCATGGAACTCGTTAGCCTTGAAGCTCCAGAGAGTCAGGTGTAGGCACAGATTGTAGTACAGGCCAAGGATAGGCTCAGGAGAGTCAGACTTGTTGATGTTCATCTCATAGCATTATCCCTCAATTACAGTTTTCATCGGGATCCGTGTTTTCCTTTTCTAGTTAATTCTGTGTAATCTGTGTAATCCCACCATGCTGTCAACAATCCTGACAGGGGGCTGGGGAAAACTGCCAGGAGCAGCAAGCAGTGAGTCTGAAAAAAGAGTGATGGGGTGTTTGTGGGGGAAGGGGGTTGCAGCTTGGGGCTAGGGAACAGCTAGATGGGACAGTTGTGGGTCGGGCAGCTGAAGGGGTGAACATTTGGGATATACTATGCTCCCAGGCTACTGTGATTCGGCGTTCTGTGCTGTGTTTTGGGAACTGGTTGGTTTTGCGTGTCTCCATTTTTTCTTCTTTCCCATGGAGGGGTCAGGGATGAGGGCAACGCTACAGGAAGGTACTGATGGAAAGCTTTGCCTGGTGGCTTGTCAGGCTGAATACTCCAGGGTGCACAGGGGCTTGTGCCCAGGGACTGTGAGAAAAGCTGTTGTTAAGATGGGCATTTGTTGACTGTTGATGTTTGAACAATTCATGTGTCCAGAGATGTGGAGAAACAACCTGTGGGGTTGTTAGCGACAACTTTATGGAACTGGGGCGCTAGCAATTGAAAATAAAGGATGTGATATTTTCTGTTGTCTTTATTAGGAAGAAATGGATTTTTTTGCTGTTTATGATGCTGGGATGAAACTCGGGGCTTCATGGGCTGTGCCACTAGGTTATACCCAGCTCTCACCCCTGGTGAAGGTGGCCTGGCAGGGTTGGCCTGATGAATCCACTTAGGAGCAGGACAGGAGGGAGGTACAAACCTGCCCTTCTGCCTTGGAGAACTGGACGGACCTTGTCTTTTGCTGAGCTCCTCTGGCAGATGGTGTGATTTTTGAGAGACACTGAAACAGTGTCAACTTCCCCTCTCTGAAATTCATCCCTTGGAGGTTGTCAATGGCGAGTGTGTGACACAATGAAGTGCGCAGCCATGAGTGCTCACCGCATGGAGGGGCCATCCCACACCAAAGAGCCACCTGCCTTGAGGAGTCAGCCTTTTTAAAAGATTTTTTTTTTAACAATGTGGATGCGTGTTTGGCCTGTATGTATGCCTGTCTACCATGTGCATGCAGTGCCTGCAGAGGCCAGAACGTAGCATTGCTGTCCCCTGGGACTGACTGGAAATCAAACCCTGGTCCTCTGGAAAAGTAGCCAGTGCTTTTAAACCCTAAACCATCTCTCCAGGCTACTTTAAAAATATTTTTTTCAAATTTAATGTGTGTGTGTGTATGTGTGTATGCATGTCTATTATTTGTATATAGCATGTGGACATGAGTGCATGGCCTTCAAAGCCAGGAGTGTCGGAATCTCCTAGGAAATGTATGTGGGTCCTCTGAAAGAACATTAAATGCTCTTAACCACTAAGCTGCATCTCCAGCTACTGGTACAGCCTCGAATGTTCACACACACCAGACAGACACTCACCACTTACGTCGTGGTCATAATCTACAGAATAACCCATGGAGTTGGATGCTTAATCATTTAAAAAAAAATTTTTTTTTTTTTAAAAAGGAGCATTGATTTTGAATAATGTGTGGGTGTGGTGTTGGGGGTTGGTCTGATGCTTCTATTTTGATGCTAATTACTGGCCCTCAAGATCTGGTTGCTGCCCCCCAACACCTATCCTTGTATAAACCTGCCAAAGACATTATTTCTGACTGGTTGGTTAAAAGGCTTAAAACCTGGGCAGGGCAGAATGGGGTAGATATGGGTAAGGTTCCTAGGCTTTGGGGACAGGAGAATCAAAGGAAAGGATAGACAGGAAGAGAGGAGAAAGGAAGATGCTAGGATGGATTGGCATGGAGAAGAAATTACGTGGGCCTGGAGGAAAGAACTCCAAGGATGTCGTGAATGGAGAAACCGACCCAGATGACAGATAAGCAACAATTTATAAGATTATGAACGGAAGGTAGCCCAGATGGGAATGGTTCAGGCGGGTGGCAGTGGATGGGGCTGGGAGGTAGATGGGGTTATTGAGACAGCATAGGTGGAATAGCTTCCCAGCCCAAGGTAAATAAGGCAATTATAAGATCTAACAGGTGTCTGTGTCTTATTGTGATAGTGGGTTAAAGAATACTTGCCATAATTATTATAGGACTAATTATAAACACTTTATATTTTAGCCCAATGCCTTTTATCAAGAACATCAGTGTGGTGTGGAGTTATATCCAAACAGTGCAGGTGTCTGAGGAGGTCAGATCCCCAGAAGCTGGAGTTACAGGGGTTGTGAACCTCCCAACTTGGGTGCTGGGAACTAAACGTGGGTCCTCTAGAACAGTGTGTACTCTTGATCAGTGAACCATTTCCTCAGTCCTGGCCACTTGTTCTGGCTGTCCTTACTTTACGTGTGAGTAAAGTGAAGTTTTGGGAGGCTATGGAATTTAAGACGACACAGTTTAACTGAGTGTGGTGGCACATGTCTGTAATCCCAGCTACTCAGGAGGCTGAGGCAATCCAATCCAGTGTTTTAAGCCAACATAAACACTGCCTCAAAGGGGAAAACAAAAGCAAACAAGGTTTAAAGCCACTGTCATATATGTCACAGCAAAAAACAAAAAACCCAGCTCTGTCATCTGTGCCAGAGATGCCCTCAATGTGCCCCAAGGTGCGTGGGAAATAGTCGAAAGGGTGGTAAGAGAGGCCCCTCACATCAAGCTATTGGGGACCTGGAGCACTGGTGATGTGCAGCTGACAGTTTCCAAAACCCCAGGATTGAATCACGGCAAAGAAGCCTGGCTGGCCCTTGCGTAGGATGCTCTGCTGTAGTGCCACCCAGTGCTTCTCCAGAGCTCACATCTTACCCCGTGTGGAGCAGCCCCCTGACTTCATGATGGTATGTCCCAGCAATGTGAAGTCCATGACAGTGTGCATCAGCAGGCATGCCTCTGAGATCATCCACCTGCTCGTCGGTGGCTGATCACTCTCTGCCAGACTTGATTGTCCTTATCAACAGGCCTCCCAGGCCACTTAGGGTGCACTGGGAGGCTGTGGGTGTGGCCGGCCCCCCCACACCCAGTGAATCAAGCCTTCTGGCTGCTGCTGATCTGGGTGCCTGTGCCGCCACCCTCCAGAACGTTAAGGACACAGGCAGATAAGCCCTTAAGCACCAGACTGACTTTCCAGCTGTTTCTAATAAACTGATGTTCTGAACAGAAATTTTAAAAAATCAAAGCCTGAGTGGGTAATCTTTCACTTCCTACAGATGTGTAAGATGGCTGTCTAAGATCAAGGCAGCTTCGGTTATCTGATGAGGGTTCCCCCTTCCTGGAATACAGATGGCACAGTGACCTCACTGTGTGTGTCTGTGTGTGAATCACCTTAAGACCTGCCTTCATAGCTTTGTATATATACAATCCCTATCAAACTCAGTCTCTTAAATTCCCCATTTTAGACTAAAGCTTCAACACAGGAATTTTGGAAGGACACAAGCATTCAGAACAGGCACATACCTTAGAATAAGTGCTTTTATTAACATAGTCACCATACATAATAATGGCTTTCATTATGGCATACATGCAAATAATGTATTGATCATATTCACTCCCTCCTAGTCTCTGTACCTCTCTCCTTGATCTTCCTCTTTGAAACTACATGTTTTTCTTCTTGATCAAGGTTTAATTAGCGGTATTAACAGACGCATGGGCAACTCACTAGCAATCATACCACTTAATAAAATCTGCCCCTCATTAGGTCACAAAAAGGCAGCACCAAACCTGATGACCCGAGTTCTATATCCCCAGGACTCGCATGGAGAAAGGAAAGAAATGACCTCCACACATGGCATGTGTGTAGCAACACTTAACGCCCACATCGAAACGTAGTAAGAAATTTGTGAGTAGAAATGGGGCTAATTGAAAGAGTAAGGATTGACAACAGTGGGAGTCACCTGAGGGCTCAAGGGGATTATAAGCAAAATATAAACATGCACATAGGGAAACTTGCGCAACATTTATGCTAGTAACTTTTAAAAAGTCATTCCACTAGCAACGTAATTTTTTTTTTTTTTTTTTAATCACGAAACCTACTTTCTTCCGATAAACCTCTGTTTCTCAGAACGTAGAGCAGCGCCCGAGGGATGCGGACCTTCGGTGTCCTGCCGCGGCTGAGCCGCCGTTCCCGGCCCCCGCCTCCCTCCCGGTCTGACACCGCTTACGGCGTCTCGAGAGTTAAATGCGGACCGGGAGCGTGGTCCGCAGCACCAAGCGAACCTCTCCCAGGAGCGCCCGGGCGCGCGTGGGTCATCAAGCCGGTTCTCCGCGCCCCGGAACCTCCACGCGCGCGCCTCGCTGGCCGGCCGCCCGCCCTCGACGAGCAGCCAGCAAACAAAGGCAAGACATTCCGGACACCAATCGCGCTTTCTGGCTTCTTCCCAACCCTCCAATCGGGCTCTAGGGTGTGGCCATCGCGCCAGGCCATTCCGGCCGCCGATTGGCCGGCGTCTTCCTGGTGCGAGCGTCCCTGGCCAATCAACAGCCGTCAGTCCACTCCGCCAGTCCTCGTCTGGCGGCGCGAGCGGCGCGGCCGGTTGAGGAGGGCGGGAGGTAGGCGGGGCGTCGGCGCTGGCCCCGCCTCCTCGCCCTGCCGCCCCGCAGCATCTAGACACCCGTGGGAACCGGAGATCCCGACAGGTGAGCCCGGTGCCCGACGGTCGTCAGGATGGAGTTCGTGAAGTGCCTCGGCCACCCGGAGGAGTTCTACAACCTGCTGCGATTCCGCATGGGGGGCCGGCGGAAGTTCATACCCAAGATGGACCAGGTAGGCCGAGCATCCCTGCACCCCCGCGGGGCTGTGGCCGCTGCGCGCCCCGGAGGGCCACGGAGGACGGTCTCGGACGCCCTGGTCTCCTTGGAGGGCGGGATCCCGGCCTGGGTCGCGCACCCCGGCTGGACCCTCTAGCCTTACAGGCCCCGCCCTCCCCTCCACCTGTCTTTAAAGGTTTCTCCAAACCATTGCTTTTCGTGGTGGTTTGGCTGCGCACTTCGTTCTCCTAAGCTTGGGGTTTATTTTCACGCCAGTGGGTGCGTTCCAGAATTGAGATTAGATGGGGAGAACACGCCTGAGATGATTTTTTTGTGAACATAAGGAGCCCTGTGGGAGTTCTCATATCCCTGTCTTCTCTGGAGTGGAAACTTAGACCGCTCCCACACGCTCCTTCCAGTTTTCAGACATCACCGCCCTCGTAAGCTTCCTCGCCTTCCTGCAGCCCCTGATTTGTTCCTGGGTGCTTCCTACGGTTTTCGTTGTGCGCGCATAATCTACAAGTTCTTACTAGCTGTTGGCTGCTGGAAGGCCAGAACTTGGTTTTTGTTTGTATTTCATCGTACGCTACCCTTTGTTAAATGCGTGCTTTGACGATATTTATTCTAACAAATGTATGCAACTGTTGGCATGGATACACATCCAGTTGCATTAGTGAATTACATCAAAACCTTTAAACATTCCCCCCACCGGAAACATCAGACACTGTTTTTATTTAAAGGTATTCTTGATTGGCGTCCTTTATTATAGCACTTTAATTTTCTTGTAACTCAGAATGTTACTCATTTTTTTAAGACTTAGCGCTCTCTCACGAGTGCTCTGGGCCATTCAGCAGACGTTC